CTTGAGCCCAGGAGTTGGAGGTTGCTGTGTGATGCCATGGCACTCTACCCAGGGGGATAGCTTGAGGCTCCGTCTCAAAAAAAAAAAAAAAAAAAGAAAAAGAAAAAAAAAAAGAAATAATGCCCACACTGAATACCCTATTTAAAATGATAAACCACTCCTGGGTGGCGCCTGTGGCTCAAAGTAGTTAGGGCGTCAGCCCCTTATCCTGGAGGTGGCGGGTTCAAATCCAGCTCCGGCCAAAAAAAAAATTTGATAAACCACTCCCATCCTCCTATATACGTAATCCCTCAGGTCATCCTACTTTTTCCTTTTTCCATAGTGTTTACCACCTTCTAATACTGACATGCAGTTTACCTGTCATGCTTATTATCTGTTATCCATAACCCAACATTAGTGTACAGGTTATTTTGTTTACTGATGCATCCTAAGAACAGAAACAATGCAAGGCACACAAGTAATTCCTGAGTAAATGAATACATGAACAACTGTACTCCCAGCTATACTTACAGGGAAACTGAGCTCTCTAGCATCCCATCCCCTCAAGAAAATATCAAGGCCTTTGTTTGAAATGCCCCCACCAAAGGCTTCTCCTGGGCTTCCCAGTTCCTCCAGGCCACCCTCCTTACCTCTGTCTCAGGGATTGAGGGAACCCTCATGACTCGCTGGTTAATCTCCCGGAGGAAGGCCTCAATCCGATCCTTCTTCTTCTCTGACAGCCTTATTTCCTTTAGTAGCTCCTCTACCTGTAAGAGAGGGAAGGGGAGAGTTCATTGGCCTCAAGGCCCAGGTCTGCCCCTTTAACCTAAGCCCCAGCCGCCCAACAGTACCTGTAAACGAAGCAAGCTGGAATGGAACAGGATTTCAGTCTCCCGAAGGTGATTCAGCTCCTCATTGGTAGGTTCCTTGTACAGCTCTGCCCGGCTGAGCTTCACTGGCTGCAGGACACCCTCCACTGGAGACTTAGACATTGTTCGCTTCCTTGAAGATGCCTTCTTTCCCTCCTTGCCTGTGCTTTCCAGGGCTGGTTCCATCATCTGTGACCAGAGAGGGAAATCCCAATGTGAGGCCATAGATATTTAGCATTTACTGCCTGAGGTGCCACCATTATAGCTTGCAGGTAACATCACCTGCTTCTGTTTCCTCTCTTCATGGGAATCAGATTCTGTAAAACTGAGGATAATCATTACTTGAAGGAACATTACTGAGCTCTAAGCTAAAAATTCCTTGAGTTGAGGGCTCTCTGTCTACCTGACAGCATAAATGTGGAGCTCTATTTGGAGTTGGTAGGGTCAGAAGCTGACTGGACCCTGCCCTAAGTAATGCCCAAGCCCCTTGTAGTTTCAGGTATCATGAATCTAGGAGTTTCCTCTCTGCTGATGTAGGTCAGAAACGTCTTTTTTTTTATATAACAAAAGAGAAACAGTTTATAAATCTTTCCAAAAATTACCTTCAAATTACAAGTGCTTCTCTCACACACATAAAAATATAGATTCACCATTAAACACACAGTAAAATTAAGACTTTTTTTTTTTTTTTTAGAGACGAAGTCTCACTTTGTTGCTCTGGGTAGAGTGATGTGGTGTCACAGCTCACAGCAACCTCCAGCTCTTGGGCTTTAGGCAATTCTCTTGCCTCAGCCTCCCGAGTTGCTGGGACTACAGGCACCCTCCACAATGCCCGGCTATTTTTTGTTGTAGTTTGGCCAGGGCGAGTTTGAACCCGCCACCCTCAGTATATGGGGCCAGTGCCCTACTCACTGAGCCACAGGCGGGGCCCAAGTGTCTGAACTTCTAACAAGCTTATGGGTGATGCCAGTGCTCTGGACCAAGAATATTTTGTCAGACATCCAGTAGGTGGGAAAGCCGGTATTTATTCCAATTCGTCTGTCATGTGAAACCTAGGTGGAGGCCAGAGATTATGTGCAGATTCTAGGTGAGATCAACCCAGCTCTGCATTCTTGGGTATTATAGCCAGGGGAAACATTACCTCATGGAGCTGCTCTAACATAGTCTAAAGCAGTGGTTCTCAAACTGTGGGTCACCACCCCTTTGTAACAATGAAAATACATCCCACATATCAGATATTTAATGATGATTCATAACAGTAACAAAATTACATTATGAAGTAGCAAAGAAAATAATTTTATGGTTGGGGGTCACCACATGAGGAACTGTATTTAAAGGGTCGCGGCATTAGGAAGGTTGAGAACCACTGGTCTAAAGGATATGTCAACCTAAAAGGAAGAAACGTTTCTTCTCTCACAGTGTTCTAGCTTTCTCCATACAGACCTCCCAGAATCTGCTAAAAGACGCTGTAGCAGTCACCGTGGCCCCCAAGAGCAGAAAGAAAAAGCAAGTGGCCACACGTCCCAGCTGGGGCCCCAAGAGCAGAGAAAGAGAAGTCAGGTCAGGAACTTCTCATATGACTTTCCCCCTGCTGCTCAGTACACAGAGAGTGCTCACTGATGATAAGAGCTATAATCTATAGGGCCCCGGAAGATATATTTGGCAGATATTCCATCCTCTCGACAATTCTTGAAGAAGTGCCATCATTCACTGGAGGTTCCGGAGTTGCTATACTAGCACCATGAGCAGACTTCAAGCCAGGTCTGCAGGATGGCAAACTTCTTCCCCTAACACTATAGTAAGGCGGAGAGCCTTACTGGAGTGTTCCAGGAGAGTCACCGTGTGCCCTGTTACAGCGGGAAAAACAGAACTAGACACCAACTCTGTGGAGAGGGGAAGACCCCGCTCAATGTCCAGGAAGGAGGTCGGGTCAAAGAAATGATCCAAGCTGCGGATCTCTTCATCTCTGAGGTGCACAGTTCGCAAAGACTGCAGAGGCTCAATAGACTTTACTGCTTCTGTCCAAATACTGCGAAGCTTTATTTCTCCCAGCAAGCCCTGAGTGCCTCAACGTCCCAGGTTTAAAGCATTAGAGAGCCGTCCTCGTGTCCCTCACCGGTGAGCTAAGACTCTGCTATCTCGTGTCCGGCAGCCAAGGGACGCACATACAGCATATTTTCCTCTCAAATGTCTCAACTTACCTGTGCCTCCCCAGGTGCTCCGCATACTTGCTTTCCAGCAGGCGCTGGCCCCATTACCTTGCGCCCAAGACTCTCCTGCACTACGGATTCAAGGCGAGTACACACACCGCAGTTTCCCACGTGGCGGAAATGCCCAAATCCGGGCGCGTGTCAAGGAAGCCTCATTTCTCAGGACTCCACCCATTCCAGAGCCATTGGGCTACATGGTACCCTAACTCTCTCGCCATTGGCCTGTTATTCTCCAAGACCGCTCACGGGGCAAGGGGAAGAGGCTCTCGATTTACGGCCTCTTCACGACGCTGCACCGGAAACCACCGGGTAGCTTGGCCGTCGTTTCCGTCTTTTCATTTCCTCGGTTTGGGACCGAAGTGGGGAGGGCGGAGCTAGTTTGTCGGAGGTTGTTTGTTTACACCATTGGTTTCGTTTTCCTCATCCATTTCGTCTCGACCAGGAACAAATTCTGTCCCTTCTACTTCTAAAATATACTTCAAGTTTATTCATTTTTCTCTGTCTTTACTACCAGGTTTAAGTCCTCGCATTATTAGGCTGTTGTAATGGCTCTTTGTAATGGATTTTCTTCAGCTTTTACTAATTAAAATTGCTAAAATTTCACGTACACAAACGTCCACATACCTTTCACCTAGGTTCACTTAGTGTTAATGTTTTGCCAAGTTTATTTCACGTTTCCCTATGTATTTTCATATTATTTTGCAAGCCTTTTGAAAATTAATTACACATATATCTAGTTTAGGATGTACCCTATCTAAGATCAAGGACTACCTCTTACATAATCATAGTCCAATTGTAACCTTCAAAAAAATTAATCTTGACTCATACCATCATGTAAGTTCCATATTTAAATTTTGCCAATTGTCCCAATTTTATGTCCTGATGTAGAATCATTTAAATTCAACTATCAAATTAGCTTGTCATGTTTATTTTGTCCCTCTTATCTGGAACATTTACATTTACAAAAAAAGGGCTCTCCCTTTTTTTGGTGTTTTATGATGACGTTTTTGGAGAATACAGAACAGTTTCAACAGCTTAAAAAAAAAAATTCTCTTTTATTGGCCAGGCGCAGTGGCTCGCTGACGCCTATAATCCTGGCACTCTGGGAGGCTGAGGCAGGCAGATTGCTTAAACTCAGGAGTTCCAGACTAGCTTGAACAAGAGTGAGATCCTGTCTCTACTAAAATAGAAAAACTAGCCAGGCAGATAGGCACAGTGGTGAGCGTAGTGGTGAGTCCCAACTACTGGGAAGACTCAGAGGCAAAAGATCTCTTGAGTCCAAGAGTTTGAAGTTGTTGTGAGCTATGACACACACCATGGCACTCTACCCAGGGTGACAGAGTGATACTCTGTCAAAAAAATTTTTTTATTGAAGTAGAATATGTGTAAGGAAAAACTCACATACCATAAAAAATACACTTTGAATACTGACAAACCAGACACACCCATGTAACCATCTCATAGAAAAGAACATTTTCTGCACCTTCAGAATCTTCATTCACACTAGCAATTAGCCCCTGAAAAAATAATCACTATCCCGACTTTAAAACAGCATAGATTAGTCTATACCATAACTTTCTTTTTTGCAGGTTTTGGCCCAGGCCGGTGCCCTACTCCTTTGAGCCACAGGCGCCGCCCAGTTTTCTTTTGTTTGTTTGTTTGTTTTTGAGACAAAGTCTTACTTTGTCACCCTCTGTAGAGTTCTCTGGTGTCGTAGTTCACATTAATCTCAAACTCTTGGGTTCAAGTGATCCTCTTGCTTAAGCCTCCCGAGTAGCTGGGACTACAGGTGCCCGCCACAACGCCTGGCTATTTTTTGGTTGCTGTTCGGCTGGGGTAAGGTTTGAACCCGCCACTCTTGGTATATGGGGCCAGTGCTCTACTCACTGAGCCACAGGCGCCACTCATTATTCTGTTTTCTTTTTTTGCAGTTTTTTTTTTTTTTTTTTTTTTTTTTTTTGTCCAGGGCTGGGTTTGAACCTGCCACCTCTGGCATATGGGGTCAGCGCCCTACTCCTTTGAGCCACAGGCGCCGTCCCAGTATTCTGTTTTCTTTACCACCAGAGGGCACCAATCCGTCAAGTCAATCTCTACTGCCATTACCAAACAATGTAAGAAAGCTTTAGGAAGCTGTTTGGGACAATCTTTTTTTTTTTTTTTTTTTTTTTTTTAAGATAGAGTCTCACTTTTTTGTCCTTGGTAAAGTGCTGTGGCATCATATCTCACAGCAACCTCAAACTCTTGGACTCAAGCCATTCTCTTGCCTTAGCCTCCCAAGTGGCTGGGACTATAGGTGCCTGCCACAACACCCAGCTATTTTTTGGTTGCAGTTGACATTGTTGTTTAGCAGGCGCGGGGTGGGTTCGAACCCACAAGCTCCAATGTATGTGGCTGGTGCCCTAGCCGCTGAGCAACAGGTGCTGAGTCATGCCCAGTTCGTTTTTCTATCATTCTTTTGACAAGAATGTTTTGAGACACTACTATGTGCCAAACATTGAAGTAGCTGGTAGGTGGTTTTGGAATTTGTGGTCTTGAGCATCTACTACCGGTATGTATCTGAGAGAACCTATTAGACAGGGGAGTGGAGGGTAGAGTTCAATTTACCACTGTGTGATTACTGATTGTCTTCCTGCCCTTGGCTGTTGTGAGTTTCTGTGAACAATTACTTAGTGTCTTCTCTGTGTCAGGTGGTGTTCTGGGTGCTGAGGATCCAGGGATGAATAAGACATGGTTGCAGCCTACTAATAAACAATGTTTTAGTGGCTAGAATAAAAAGACATGAGCTAGCTCTATGGAATTCAAGTTCCTCTGACCTAAGAATGAAGAGATCCTTGAGTACAAAATTCATTCTCCTCACTTAAAGCCATACTCACTGTGGATACTAAGAATAAGTTTGTTTGAACCCAGGAAGCAGCCTTTGGTCTGGGTGCCAGGTATATGTTCCAGTGGGTGAGGCTAGGGATCTATCTTCCTCTGGGTCTGGGTGGGGCTGTGATGAGTTTACGTGGCCGAAATGCTTTGAAGATGAACTTTCTGCCTATTTGACTACTCACAGCCTTGCTATTGAACGTGTCAACATCATCTCCCACGTTTCCAGGTCAACAATCTTCTTGTTAAATTGAGTGGTGGAGGAGGAAAAGACAAATTTAGGCATAAACCATCATATTGGCTGCATTGACTAGGACACTCCCTCTCTTCTGAGGGAAGCTCCAATTCCTCTGGTGGTCTCAAGGCCCGGCAGTAAGATGTGGGGATAGAAAATGATGCTTTAGGACAGAGCCTGTGGCTCAGTGGGTAGGGTGCTGGCTCCATATACCGAGGGTGACAGGTTTGAACCCAGTGCCAGCCAAACTGCAACAAAAAATAGCTGGGCATTGTGGCAGGTGCCTATAGTCCCAGCTATTCAGGAGGCTGAGGCAACAGGAGTTGGAGGTTGCTGAGGTTGCTAAGCCCAGGAGTTAGAGGTTGCTGTGAACTGTAATGCCATGGCACTCTACTGAAGGTGACAAAGTGAAACTCTGTCTCAAAAAAAAAAAAG